GTCCAGCTCATTCTGAACAAGACCCAGAGCAATCTCTTGCCTGAAAAATGATTTCCGGACTCCCCAATTAAAATTAAAATTTCCGCAAAGCAAAAAAATAATGTTGCAACCAAAATTCAGTCTTAACTCACCTGCAACAAACATTGATAGCAACAATTCTTTATGAACTCCAGTTGAAGACATAGAATGACAGTTTATAGATAAAAACATGAATACAATAGTCTGTATCTTAATTTTTTTCCATTATTATGATTCTTTTTTTAACCCTTTGCTATCTCCGAACGCCTCATGGACGAGTTTGTGGGGAATAATATTGCGGAGTGTACATTGGCACACTGATAAGAGACAAAAAGCTGAGTTTATACGGTCTGGAGCAAAGATTACTCACGATATTTTTCCCGGCTTCAATAATAGCTTGTTAAATAGAGCTGAGATTATGACGAGAGTATGCTAAAACGTCTTAATGCGATTTTATTTATAGCGATTAATACAGGATTTGAAAAAAAAAAAAATTGGATTTGTCGATCAACTCAGACTGTATTCTCGTAATTGACTTAGCTTTCAGTTGATTATTCTGATTGTCATGCTGATTGATGCTGATTGATTGTAATTTTTTGTGATTTTTTCAGATGAAAATTGAAACGTCAGTCGATCTCACATAGGCGGTCAAAATCATCGACACCTGTTGAATTCTAATAAAAAATGGACTGTCATGTGCCGTAGAGCAACTGTCATGCTAGTGACGAATCAGTCATCGGCACCACTGGATAATTTGTCGAATATGCTGTCGGTACTTGAAGAAGAGGCAAACACCGACATTGACGACGTGTTTCCACCGCATGTCGATACGTCAAATATCGTTATACATCCGGAATCGCCAACGACTAAGAAACAGGCATTGAAGACATTTGCTGAAGTCAATGCACTCTTGCAAGCTGGGAGAAAGAGAGAAGTTAAACTTATTATAAGGGAAAATCCGTGGCCGCTGAACAATGGTATCAGGGCGCAGCTGTGGCCTGCACTTTGTCAACAACATGCTCATGGAAAGAGTATGCTTGATGGATTCTACTGGGATATGGTCAATCAAGTATTTGGAACTACAGGTGAATTATTAGATTATTTTATTATGAAAAAAATTGATTTCTACAGCTGAAATTCATGAGTAATTGATAATTAAAATCAGGAAAATCCAGCAAAATTTGTACTTTAATTCTCTTTACGTTGAAAATTGAAATTAATTGATGAATTAAGGCATTCTATTGAGATTTGGTCAATCAAGTATTTGGAACTATTTGGAATTATTATATTATTTTATTATGAAGAAATTCTATTTGTACAGCTGAAATTTATGAGTAATTGATAATTGAAATCAGGAAAATTCAGCAAAATCTGTAGTTTAATTCGCTTTGCGTTGAAAATTCAAATTAATTGATAAATTAAGGGATTCTATTGGCCAATCAAGTATTTGGAACTATAGGTGAATTATTATATTATTTTATTATGAAGAAATTCTATTTGTACAGCTGTAATTCATGAGTAATTGATAATTGAAATCAGGAAAATCTAGCAAAATTTGTACTTTATTAATTTTCTTTGCGTTGAAAATTCAAATTAATTGATGAATTAAGGCATTCTATTGAGATTTGGTCAATCAAGTATTTGGAACTATAGGTGAATAATTATATTATTTTATTATGAAAAAATTCTATTTGTACAACTGAAATTCATGAGTAATTGATAATTGAAATCAGGAAAATTCAGCAAAATCTGTACTTTAATTCTCTTTGCGTTGAAAATTGAAATTAATGGATAAATTGATCATAAAAATCAGGAAAATATATGAAAATCTGTCCTTTAATTCTAGTTCCATGGAAATTTAGATGAATTGATGAATTAAGGGTTCTATTTGCATTTGGTAAATCGAGTATTACAGGGGACTACAGGTGAATAATCAAAGCGAATCATTTTAATAATAATAATTACTTCTGCTAAATTAATGTACTCATGTAAAAAAAATTAATGTGGCAAAATCAATTAGTTTTCTAAGTGCAATTCCTCTGAAATTTGAAAAAATTGTCAATCCTGAAAATTCACAAACCAAAATAAATGTTATTTCTCAATTTTTATTCAATTAGCGTACATCTAATACTGAAAATCAGAAAAATGCGAGTAATTCTGTTTCTTAAATTTCCAATTCATTGATAATTTCATGTAATTCAGTAGTGAATTCTCACGTGTCACTGAAAATTCAAGAAAATTGTAGAATTAACGCCCGCCTGCCGCTTAAAAATTGTCCACTTCCTTTAATTTTGAGTGGAACTTGAAATTTCATGAATTTTTTACCCCTAAATTGCATTTAATATTAATGCTCGCAAAATTGCTACTAGAATGTCAATGAAATGTCATATTCTTCTACTAGTAAACCACTCCTCTTTAATTTTCTATGAAATCGTACGTGTAACATGTGGAAATTGTTCTCGTTAAAATTCGTAGACTAATCTTTAATCCTATCTTTAAACTGATAATCTCTGATCATCAGTGATATCCTCAAACAACTCCTGTTAAACCCATAAAAATAGTCTGATAAAAACCGCTTCCTTGTTGGAGTCAAATATTCAATTATGCAATTGATCTTGAACGATTTATCTGGTCTTCACAAGATTTGTTTAAAAAGCTATCGATTTTTTCTCTCCATATAAAATCTTTCAATTTCTCAAGCTTCATTCAAATATTTCGAATTGATAATTCACCTGGTGAGTTGTTAAATTATAAAATAAGATAATTACTGACTTCTCGATAGAGATCTCTCGAAACAGATGGAGGAACGAATGAAAAAGTTGGGGAGATATTTAAAAAAATTTGAATTATTCGGTGGAAATTTATTAAACTGATTATAACTCCATGTTTTCTGTTCACAGAGCTGCCAGATAAATCAATAATGCTACCGCCATTTGTCGATAGCACTCATTGCCTGTCTTATAATCTCACACGAAAAGGCAGAAGCGTTGCTGACAGAGTTGTCTCTGTACTCGGATACGCCTGTCCAGACATAACTTATAGTCCCTCACTCTATCCAATTACAGCGCTTTTATTGCACTTCATGCCAGGTCTGTATATTGCCATTTGTTAAACCACGTAATTACAATTTGCCAGAAACGTTAAACGTTAAAATTGGGTAATTTTGCAGAAGAGGAATGCTACCACTGCATGGCAAGTCTCGTCGCAGCCAAGGAGAAGATGTTTATAACGCAGACGAAATTATTGTACGAAAGCACGTGGAAGACTGTTGAACAAATAACTAAGAAACATGTTAAATCAGCAGCGGTACATCTTACGAGGCATTGTTCAGGCTCGAGGGCTGAAAGAATCTATATGGATTGGATATGGTGGATCCTTCAACTATTACCGTTTCAGCATCTAGTCAGAGTTATGGACTGTTTTTTGCACGAGGGCTCCAAAGTAATTTTTCTTTTTTCATTACTCCAGCGATTGCTAATAGAAAAATCCAGTTAATTTCTCCATTTTTATTTATTTTTTCGTGAAATCTTTAAATTTTTGAAAAATAATGGGCGAAATTTAAGATTGAACAGGCGGTTAGAGGATCAATTTATTATAATATTTTGGAAGTAGGCAATTAAATCAGTGTTCTTATGGGAAACACCTAAATTTTGAAAAATGCAATTGCACACTTGTAAATTATTCAATTAGTGATTTTTTATTTAAAAATTGAGTCGATTGCGAACGTTGATTATGAGAAATCATTTTAAAAATACGAGACACCTGTCAATCTGAATTTTCGTATGAAATGGGTGAAATTTATCTATCAATTATAGATTAATCATTCATCGGCCTACAGATTACGAATTTCAAGGTGGATTCCCTATTTTTTAGAATAGTTCTGGTATAAAACTGACCAAATGCATTAGTTCGTGGAGTGTTTCAACAGAATTGAGAGATATTTGGCAGAGATTATTGTTTATTTCAGAACCGATTCTCATAAATGAATAATTTAATAGCAAAGAGGTAAACTAGGGCGAGTGCATTTGTTTGGACACCACTTTTTGGCCAGTATCTCGGAATAGAGGAAACTTGACGATTTTTTTTATAAACACTTTTTATCGAAAAAAATGAGACCTGCAAAAAAGATATCTATGAAAATATCGGTATCTTCCTTCAATTCCGAGATATTGGTTAAAAACTAGTCTTGAAAAAAATACACTTGTCCTAGTTTATCCCTTTGTAATAGATTTTCAATTATTTAAACATTAAAATCCTTTTTTGTGTTTTTCTTAGAATTCAGTACTGGAAAAACTCTGAATTATCAATCAATTCGTTATCATTAAAAAATGTATTGTTTACAAATGATTGAGGAAAAAGTTCACGGTCGTAAGAAAAATTACGTTTGTGATGGAATTTGAATTAAAATATTTCAAATAATAATATCATCACAATTTTTTTCTAAATCTAGAAACAAATGAAATTTGAATGATTATTCTAATGTTGGACCACAAATCTAATCAAGCATCAGCGGAAAAAAGGCCAAGCATTTAATAAACAATTTTTAAAACCTGGAAAATGCAAATCTTAATAAAAAATGGTCGTTTCAGCGAAATTTTAAATTATCAGGGAAAGAGTGAATTCCTTTACAAAAGGTCTTCGTTCGACGATTGAGAAAAATCTGACATCTGTTTTGTCTCTTATCTCTTGTGTATTAAAAAATGAGAAATATTTTCACTCTCAGATAATTCCGAAACAATCTGTACACTTTGTACACAAAATGTCGTAGGCCGAGAACACGCGACATGAATTCCTCATTCAAGAATACATATTCTTAATTCAAGAATAAATATGCTTGACATGCAAACAAAATTTTTCTAATTCGATGATAAATATTCTTAAATCACGAGCAAATACTTCCAGAGAGAAAATTTTTTAATTGAGACTGAAACATAAAATCACGTTTGACACGAGATGAAAAATTCTTCTCCAAATGAATTATAAAAAATATTTCGATAATGGAACATCATTTAATTTTTTTTTTCTCATCTAGGTTTTCTATCGAGTAGCAATGGCAATTGTTCTACTCTTTTACAAGCACTCGTCGTCGGCAACATCAGAGTGGATGGGTGAAATAACAAAAAATGGAGTTGACGCAGCTCTTTCGAAATTTTGCCGACAAATACCGGTAATTGTTTTTTTTTAATTACAATATGCTAGTCATTTAACTTTGCGAAATAGAAGAGCACGTCATGTCTTCGCAGTTAAAATGCCCTGGCACCTAATAACTATTTATCGATAACAACATAATACCCGACGTTTCAATAAGCAATTGCGCCGTTTCAATAACTCAGTTAATACGCACTGTCATATGTACTTCTTTGTATTTTAGTATGAAAATCGAACGAAGAGATAAAACGATTCACTTTAAACCCAATGGGTTTGTTATTATACTGACATCAAGTATTTATTTAAATTAACAAAGACCTCTTTGATGTCTTAACAAATGGAGTAATGAAAATGATTTCAAAGTCTTCCTCGAGTCATTAAGTTCTCTTCCTCGAGTCATTAAGTTCTCACTATTAGCAATTGTAGTAATTAATAAACAAACAGAAAAAATATTATCCATCGAACCCAGTCGACCTAATGAGTTTCTGTTTATGAATTTTCCCTTGATTATTAATTAGTAACATAGTCTACCGACGGTAGTGGCCGTGCGGTTAGAGTGCTGGACTAGCATGTCAAGGATCCGGGTTCGATCCCGGGCACCGACGGTCAAAAATATATGGCGCTCTGATCTCACGGTTTCACTGCCGAGCGGTAGTCCTGTCAAAAGGACGACTGTACCAGGGCAGGTTTTTCCCTCAGATGAGGTTTTCCCTCCCTTTCAGCAAATGCGGTACAGGGGGTTGGGGGGTGGCAAGGGAACAAATCGTAAAGACCCGAAAGGGTATACGAGAAGGAAAAAGTTAGTAACATAGTCTTCGCATAATGAAGAAAGGAGATTTTTTAAAAGACAATTTATATGAACTTTGGTTAATGAAATTTTTATGACACACTTAGAAAGGAAATTTTACAGATGAGAATTAATTTGTAAAAATGAGAGGAATATAAATATTCTTGTTTTTAAGAAATTTGTTGACTAAATTTTGATTGAAAAATTGGAAAAAATTATGGATTTTTCGTTGAATATTGTTTTTTTTTATTTGGTTTTTTGATAAACGAATTAAAATAGATAATTGTTCAACAACATTATCTAGGCTATTTGTTATTATTAATTACACGTGTACTATTTATTGCTATATTTATTATCATTATTGACGATTGTGAAAATATAATTTATGTTGCATAGTATTACATGTTGACAGCTGTCAAAAATCATAATATTAAATAAGGAAAAGCGCTGAGTAATTAATGCACGGTAAAGTGCAATGTAAAGAAAAAAGTGCATGACCTCCGCAATTCAAGTGTAAATTTAATTCAATATCATTTTCACAGTAGATTATAATACGTAAAAAATTCTTTCCACCTTGACATTTTAATTGACTGAGTTCAGCTCAAAATCTCGTGACACATGAGTTTGAATAATTTTTTGAGTCACTCAAGTTTTTTTAGGACTTGCTGACATTATTTATTGATGCTAAAATTGATTGTTTATGAATAATTAATTAAAAAAAGGTTCTCCTCTGAAAAAATGACTTCCCCAGTCAATCTATAATTTTTTATCTGCATATTAATTTGTTAATATCTTTCTAAATTGTTAAAACTTTGTTGACAGCTCAGAATCATGAATTAAGAATTTAGATATCAATTATATTTTTATCAATTACTTAATAATTATTATTCAATATTTTAAATCCCAATGAGACCTGATCTTCAAAAGATATTATTTTTTTAAACATTTGTATTCTCATAAAAGAATCCTTGAGATCTTTTAACCGCGCAAAATTCGGATTATGTTTATTTAATAATTATATGGTAAATGAATATCAACAAATTTATTACCGCAAATAACAATATTTTTCAGGGGAACAATTTATCGCTTCTAAATTATTTAAAAAAAAGGGTTTAAATTAACTTTCTAATATTTTCAAATTGTCGAATCATAATTACCAAAGAAGCATATATTTATATATTTATATATTTATATATTATTCTTCTGTTTGGAGGTTTTCAAATAGTCATAACAAATATTTTCGTCAATGGAATAGAAAAAATGTACTCGATCTGCACCAACACTCGAGGCAAAATAAAAAAAATTTGTAAATACCAAATTATTGTAATTACATTATTTTTTCAGGTCAGCCCTGCTAAATTCTTAAGGACTGCCTTCGGTATTCGAGGACTGAGTTCAGCTTACATATCAAGAGTATTTTTGCGTACAGAAATGTCTCTGAGAAGTAGAAGTGTCCTCAGTGGCTCAAAATCATTAGCAAGATCACGATCGACTGACAATCTACCGACGAGCCAATCGCAGGTCAACATTCAGATGATGTCCCACACTCTCACGATTCGAGAGGTAAGTCCTGTTAATAATAAACCTTGAGAAAAAAAAAATATATATCTTATTACATTATTCAATTAGATGTAAGCATATTCCTCATCCGTGTAGATTTATTTTTATATTCACTGACGTTGCACATATCCTCGACTTCCGTTAGCATTTTAATCTGTGCAATTCAGGTAAAATAAAAATAAAACTCACTCCAATAACTATAATATTTATTGATACCTCTTAATTTTTTTTAATGTACTCTATGAATTTTTGTTCTTTTGTTCAATCTCTTTTGATTCTGTGAATTGGTTATTGTGGTAATGGGCTAAAAACTAACTGTAAATGTTCCTCGTCCATGGTGTACTATTTTTATTTCCTCTGAGTAATAGATTGTAATTATTTATCTATCTTTTTCTCTCCCCTTGTCGTTTGGTTCAGGAATGGCACAGACATTTATTATTATCGTATTATCCCTCCAGGACAGGCAGGCAGAAAGTCAATGTTATTTATTACTCGTGAACATGAGAATTAAGTTAAATCCGTCAGCTATATTTGACGTCAAGATCAATTTTGAGAACGACAATTCAATGACAAAAAGAGATGACATTTTCAAAAAAGACAATTCTCAATTTTTTAATTTGTTTTCAGAAAGAGTGCGAAGACACGTACAAAGACAGGGTATTGTATAATTAATACTTTATGGAAAATGTGTCGTTTAGTTTTCATGTTGCTATCCTCTGTCCCTGAACTATTTATCAATTTTTTTATTTCATTGTTTATTATTACTTACACCAAGTATTTACTCACCACATGGTTTTTTCTCGCGTTATCAGAAAGCTTTAATCGCCGATACCATTATTCTACCATTTATCATTTTATTATAAATTGGCATTTATCATTTTTATCGTCTCTCTCATCATCCGGCGGTTGT